GAATACAAATGCAGGATATCCGCAAAAAGAGCGCCAGTTATGTATGACGTTATCTATTCCCTAAAAATGTAGAAGGCTACAGAAGAAAAGTTTGTAGAATAAGACAGTGCAGAATTTCGGGGTTTCAGAACCTATTTCTTTAAGATCTTTTTACAATTGCCTGCCAATTCTTAACAGCCTAAAATGCGCTACAAGCATAATACCTGGCCTACGCCCTATCACGCAACTTCGATAACCGCACCGCATGGCACTTTCAAAATGCGCCTACGCCCCAACCCATTTTCTCTAACAACAACGAATGCCCTATAAGATGCACCGATAATCGCAGCGGTGACTGTTGGGTTGTAATTACAGAATGGGGCGCATATGTACGTAGATACTGACAACAGTGCTTCTTGTAGCAATAAATTTTGAATTACACAGAAAAACTGATTGTGTTTTTAAAATACAACAGTTTTCTGAGCACTTTTAAAGTTCAGGCGACTTCGAGGTGCATAAATCAGAATTCCGACCAAAAAAGAACAGAAAACGAAAAGAAAGGCGGCAATAAATAAGAGGAAGTAAGAAGACGGCGACGACAAAGCGGCACTTTCTGGATCAGCCCCCGAAACAGGATTCCCGAGTGCACTGCAATGTGGCAATATGTCCAGTTGATTGAATGCAATTACGTGTGTTTCAATGTGAACTCCTCCCCCGCACTTCGAACAAATAATTCGTAGCACCTTCGATTTTTGGAGCAGAGGGAACCACAGACGCCACCGCTATCATCTTCCCGCTCAATCATTTGTTTTTGCCTCACAACGATCGGCTTAAATAATTCTCAACGAGTTGCAGTACTAGTGTAGCCTAACATAACCCTCTCTTTCGTTCAATACACATGTTACGAGTCCACTGACTCCTCCAACCCTTCCTACGATCAGTTCTCCCAGCTCCCAATCTTTGTATTACACCCAGCAAGAGAAAAACGAACAGTTCGAAGGAAGCTGCACTACGGACTATTTGAGACGTATTTTTTTGAGAAGCAGTATGAGTCACTGAAGCGCTAAACAGACCACCTTATCCTGGCTCTTATCTAAGAATAAGTCTCAGTAACCACTACGTCAGTCCCTCGATTCGGATTTCCTTCTTCTCTGCTTGTCTCTAAACTTAACAGTTTTCCCACAGTTCCTTTGCCAGCTGCCCCGTAAAGAGCGAAAATGTCCCCAGCGTATACAGGTGAAGTTCTGTATATGCCGCATTTTGATGGAAAATGTAAATGATATTTTTCGAACAACGGTCATTTTTTTCAAGTGTAGCAACATTTTTTGAAGGAGCCGCACAGCTATCATTGTAAGCCGCAACTGGTTTGAAAAAATTTCTTGCCTAGCATTCCTATAAGTAAATTCTCTGCTGATAATGCGAAATGGGAACGCATATAAACAAGGAAGTGGGAAACGGTTTCACACTTCCTTCTTATCAGGAAGCCTCCACTAGTCCTGTAAACCCATATGAGCTCAACATCCCGCAAAAAGGACATCCTCCTAGCTCCTCATCAGCAGTGCATCCCACTTTACAGAGTATGAGGAAACAGTAAGTGTAATACTTCAAATGAAATCGATGTGCTTTATTGAAACTTAGCAGTCCTCAACTAAAATGCCACTTTTTTGAAAAAACGGTGCCTCGCCCCACTTTTTTACTACAGCGCCTGAATGTGGCGCATTACCTTTCGAAGCCGGAACTTACCTCCTCAAGCGCTCCTTGAGTTATCCTAATTCCCATGCAGTCCTCGCAATTTATTAGCCCTACTGGTCTCATACACAAAACAAATGCTGAAGAACAGCGCAAGTCAGAGTAAAATTATAGTCAAAACAAAGGACCAGTACAGGAAATATCAGAAGCTGAGCGGAAATAAGAACTCATATACTTGAAAATAAAAAGCGTACAAGAATTTTTAAAAAGGTATCTAAAAAGACTTATTTCGTGTAGGATTATATCCCAAATTAAAAACTCGAAAACAGAAATTTATGTTCAGTGTTCCAGACAAGTGCTGTTTAAATTTTCAAAAGATTTTTTACGTCAGGAGAAATTTTATAATCAAATTTAGCAAAGGCTAAAAATTAAATCTTACTCGATCTTCCAGAAAGTAACTAGATAATTTCGCTTGCTGCAACCAGTGTTTTCAAATACTTCAAGTGCCTTCATCAATGGCCCACTTTCTTTTCACGTAACCCACCTTTACTCTCTTTTCACGTAACCCACCTTTACTCCATTATTCACAAGTTTTCAATGAAAGAAATACTGTTTTCCGTAATTTTTTAACATAATGCATAACAATAGACCCAAGGTTTTTAAAGGCGACTTTTGAGAGTTCCGGAAGACTACTGAAAAATTTCGAAGCGCGAGTCCCTCGCACATATCCATATCTATAATAGCCTGAGGATATCTGAGGCTGCCCGAGAGATAACGCTTCATTAAAGCAATCGTTAATCGACAAAACCGTTAAAAACTGTCTTTCCCGAGAGTTGTACAGCAGCATGGTGGAGGCGATTCCGATATTTGGTGCGGGTCAGAAGAAATTTTCATCGAAATAAATTAAATATGAGCTAAGGACTGAATATAAAGTTTATCCTAAAACTAAAAAAATTTTTCAAATGTTTTCAAAATGAATTACTGCTCTACCGAGCTGCTTACACAAAACCTGTCTTACTTTTTAGACCTCGGAGGAAGCGGAACGAAAAATACAGGTTACTCCCTCGTTGCACTGGAAACTGCTTTTATGCCTACATTTTAAGCCGTTAAGGAAAAACGGTTCCGTGCAAATGTAAAATTTCTAAATTTTGCATTAAAGGTTGTTTATCCGATAAAGCAAAATAGTTGAGAAAGCGTGAAAACATTTTATAAAATGTGTCTCGATTTGTTTTACGCACCAGGATTTAGCCAGAAAAAGGACTTCAGCGGGGTAAAAAAATGGTGAAATTTCTTAACCATGCGTCAATCATAGTAAATAACACTAAGTATATGCAAAAGCTAAGAAATGACTGACTATTACGAACACATTTGCCTATTACGTAATATCGCCCATACTTTAAATCGTTTACAATAATTCTTTTAAATCAATAAATCTTTTACATACAAATTCCCAAATTATAATTATAGCTGAATGTAGTGATGAAGCTTAAAAGTGGCTCGAAAACAGTGTTTTCAACTCAACTACTATAACTACTATAACATCCTCAACTACTATAACACCTTATATATTCCGCCCTTTACGTTACTGTTTGCCTGTCTAATGTGCTACATTCAACAATGATTAGAAGCAGCTACTTCACAAATTTCGTTTTATTATGCGTTTTTGCCTATATGCAAATTGCAAAAACGCATATTGGGACGAC